TGTTTCCAAACCGTAGAGCCAGCGTTTGTCCATAGACAGTTTCTATGGTCATGTGGCCAGAACAACTAGACATGGAACACCGTTACTTTCCCACCGTGGTGGTACCTGTTTATCTACTCCCATTTACATGCTTTCGAACTGCTAGGTTGGCAGGAGGTGGGACAAGCGATGGGCTTATGACTGCTGGTCTTCTGACCTTGCAGTACAGAGGCTTCTGCAGTTTAACCCGCAGCACCACCACGTCCCTTAGTAATGATAATAAAACACTAAAATTCTAGCCCCCAACATTTAGCATGTCCAATGAGGTGCTTTTCTAATTTGTTACGTACATGGAAATTAAAATTCTGTAGAAATGTTGAGCTGTGGATTAAACTATTTTATATAAAGCTGCCCAATTTCTTTCCTAATGCACAGGAAAATTAACTAGTTGCATGTAGGCAAACTGCCTCTTTGCACCCTTGGTAATTTAAGCACTTAAGCAGGGAGAGCAGCTGGGGATTTGTGGATGGATTTACTTTTTATAACTCTCTGAACCATCTTATTCAATTTGATGTTCTTGAAATGTTTACCTTGTCACAAGCTCTGCCCTTGTCTGGAAGGAAATAGGGTGTTATGGGAGTAGTTGTGGCAGCCAGATGTCTACTTGGAGCTAAATACAGTGTGAGTGAAATACTATAGTAAAAATGACTGGTTTAGGCATGAGAATCTGTGATGTAGTGGCCTGGAATATCCACAGGAATCTGATGACTCACTCTCAATAACCTATCTGGATTACTCTGAATGGTTACATAAAAGCATCTCCACACATGTAAGGGGGGCTTTCCCAAGCATGATACTAGGTTATAGATTGCTCCCTCTCCAAGTATCCTTTTCAATATTGTAAGGTAAGGTAAAGGTAAAGGTTCCCCTTGCCAATTTTGTCCAGTCGTGTTCACCTCTAGGGGGCGGTGCTCATCCCCGTTTCCAAGCCATAGAGCCAGCGTTTTGTCCGAAGACATTCTTCCGTGGTCACATGGCCAGTGCGACTTAGACACAGAGTGCTGTTACCTTCCCACCGAGGTGGTCCCTATTGATCTACTTGCATTTGCATGCTTTCGAACTGCTAGGTTGGCGGGAGCTGGGACAAGTGACAGGCGCTCACTCCATCACGTGGATTTGATCTTACAACTGCTTGGTCTTCTGACCCTGCAGCACAGGTTTCTGTGGTTTAGTCCACAGCGCCACCACGTCCCTTTTCAATGTTGAGCATTCTTTATCTTCAGTGTATTCAAACATAGCTAAGCCAACAGATTGTCTGATTGAGCTGTCTAGAATAAATTATGCACCTCAGTCTGAGTAGATTATAAATCAGAGGTGGGGAATATGTGGCCCTCCATATGTTGTTGGACTACAGTTTCCAATATTGCTTCCTTTTTGGCCAGAGCAAATGGGAATTATACTAGAGCAACATCTATAGGACCACATGTTCCCCACTCCTGCTATAGATGCTAAAATTCACATATCTGTACATTGCCCTTTTATTTGTATTTTTTTTTGTTCAGATGAAGTCATAACTAATTTGAACAGCTAGATGGAAGAAAGCTCTCATTTTTAGCCACAGCTATAATTAACACATTTTATCTTGTCTCCTATAGATGCTGACATTTTCCTGCCTCGTCTGACATGAGTTGCCTTGTACAACCCAAATACTGCCTGTTGCACTTTTATTTGTTTTCTGTAATGGCATTCTAGGTTTTCCACTGCAGACACAGTTGAACAATGCTGCTTCTTTTTTCTTATTTCAATGAACCATTCAGGGGAACAATTTCTGCATAGGCAGATTCTTCTCTACTGCGTTATCAGCAATATGCAATTTGTATTATATTTGTATTTTTTTAAAGTTTGATGAATTCTCCTCAGTCGTGGAAAGTTGTTTTTCTTTGCTCAGTATTGAGTTTCTTCTGACTTACAATAGCTCTTATAGGATTTTTGAGATACGAGATGATCAAGGACTGGCTTACCTTTGCTATGCTCTTAATTGTCTGTGGCTAAAAAAGGGATTTGAACTCATACCTCTTGAATCCTATTCCAGCACTGTAGGCACGGTACCACACTGGTTCTCTTAAAAGGCAGTGGGCAGTTCTTTTTAGTACTAGATTACATTAGATATTTTGAATAAGAGAGCCATAATCTTATTGTAGGAAATTGCAGTTAACAGTTGTCAGAGTTTGGCAGAAGAGGCACCAGGGCCCAGTCCAGAGCAAGACCACAGGAACAAGGTAGAACCAACCCCACAGCCCAAGCAGAGACCAACCAGCTACCAGCTGGGGTTTTGAGTCCAAACAGCAGCTGGGTGGAAGGATGATGCAAATCATGGTCAGACAGTCCAGGGGTCAAAGCCAGGAGGAACCGTAGCAAGACAGCAGGGTCCAGGGATTCAAGGAGAGGCAAGGCAAGAACCACCAGCCAGGCAAGGCAGAAACAAGGAGGCTGGCTTGCAAGGCAGGAATATCAGCATAGCTGGAGAGCTTCATCACTGAAGCAAAGGCCTGTTCTAATATAGCCCAGCCCTCTGCTTCCATAGGCGGCACTCCTGAGGAGCTGGGCAACAGCTGCAGGGAAAGGGCCCAGTCCTGCAATCTTTAGATCAGTTCTTCCCAGGGAGATGGGGCCGATCCTGCCGGCATCTAAAGTTGCAGAGTTCCGGCATGGCCCCAGTCCTGACAAGTTTCCAATGATACAAGGAAATGATTTTTTTTGCCATTAATAACCTATTCTTCAAACATACAGAAACCCAAACAGGAGAATTACAGTGACCCTGTGTGGAGTTTTGCACATAACATTTAAAGTCAGAATGCACATGAGCCTTGTTCTTCCACATGCTGCTCCTTCTAGTGTGCTATAGTTCAGTATTTGATGGGTTAACTCGCCACAGTTAGGTAGCAGTTTGCTGGTTACTTAAATTTGTTAGGTTGGAACCAAGACTGAAACAAAACTGGCCTTGAAATCAGGATTTGAAGCTAGTTTCACATCCTACAAAGGACACTTCCTTGTTTAGACACTAATTAAATCTTCAGGTTTGACCCAGTAGCAAGAAGAGGCATACACAGGGACAGTGCTCTTGATCCTCTTAAGTCATGGTGTCTCTGGATGTTGTAATTGTCAGAATTTTTTAAGGGAAGATGAGGCTTCCAGATCTAGAATAAAGTGGCACATGGGCTTTTGTGTTGTCTGATTTTAATGTTTTATAAAGTCTGAGATAGATATGCTGCTCGTCCCTGCTAATATGCAAGGAGACTATCTCCGTCCTTTGAGCTTGTGCATCCCTCCCATTATAGCTCTCTTTCATCTTCCCAAAGCCATCTGTCAGCTTCAAGTAGACAAATGGTGGCTAGAGATGGGAAGGCCTGGAAAAAAAAACTGGATCCCCCCCAAGCCATTTTATATGGCTTCAAAATTTCCTAAAATTTTGCATCTTTACTTGGGGCAGATGTGTGAAATGGTTGCTTTTTATAGCTGGACATGGATAGGTTGAGCCCTCTGCCCTGTCTCCCCATCCCAGTACACATAGCAGGCCACTAGTTAGTGTCTTTGCAGTTCCTGACAGTCCAGACTATCCGTTGCAAACACCATGTGCTTCTTGTATAATTATTAGACAGCATTTTAGGTATCTGGTTTCAGAGCCCAAGGTTGGGAGTTCAGTTCCCACTGTACCTTCTTGACAGGTGCTGGACATGTAGATCCATAGGGTTCCTTTCCAGCTCTGCAGTTCTAAAATGGTGATGATGATTAGCATTATTATTATTATTATATTGCTGAATTGTGCTTTGTACTGGCTTCATTTTGACATTCCAGTTCTCATAGTATTTTCCATAACAGGAAGACTAGATGACATTAACATTGGCATTTTGAAAGATGATCAGTGATTGGTAGAAGCATTTGTTTCTTCTTGCCACTCTGACAGCTGCTAGCTTGTGCTTGCTGTTTGATGGTGAAAGTGAGTTGGGCAGGAAAATCTATATTTAACATATCTTTTCCTTAGGAAAAATTGAAGGCTGTATTCCTTCAGGGGCAGTGTCTTCCTTCTGTGTCTCATGTCATGGCATTTTAGAAACATGATCAGCAATTGTTAGACTTGGAATACTAAATAATTAAGCACAAAGCCTCTGCCACTGAAATATATATGATGATAGGCTTTGTATTACTGTTTTGTTTTACTACGTAATACAATTTTAAGTGGTCCATATATTTTTATACATTATAAACATGTACTTGAGCTCTACAGAGAGTGGTGGTTGAGCTTGATGAGTAGCATTCATTAAGCTCTTTCTAAAATTGCAAAATAATATGAGAAAATGTAAGACTGTATCCTTGTAAGATATTTATCAATCTTTGTTGTTTTTGTAATACATTCATATCTTCACGATAACTCCCAAAGCAAGACTGTGCTGTAATATATTCACTCCTTTTCTTGTTATACCCTAAAGGAGTGGTTTCCAACAGGGACCTTAGAAGTTCTTGGACTATATTTCCCAGAAATCCTGGCCACTACAGCTAGTGGTGAAGATTTATGGCCATTTTAGTTCAAAATATCCATGGACTCAGGGTTGGGAACCACTGTCCTATAGCTTTCATGGCTCACCCTTAACCAGTGGGATTACTGTGTAGTTTACTGGGACTGAAGTTAGAGAAGAGAACTTCTGAAATTAATATTCATGTCAAACAATTTTGTGTGTTCCACAATCATGGTGGTTTTTACAGCTGATCTGAGAACACCACTGGAGAACCTGTGAAAACACACACACACAAAATGTTGTGGGTTCCCATTCTCTATCAGCCTAACTAGTTGGGTTATTTCTCACTTTCCCACTTGAGGAGTTCTGAGGCTGGTATACACATAGCCTGGCAATACTTTAGTTTTCCCATTCCCTTTTATGTATCCTTTGAACTGTGCTTGTATCTGCAGAAATGCTTTCCTGCTTAAAAAACAAAGCTAACCATGATCCATTCTTCTTCTACAGATTCAGTAGATGGAGTAACGAATGGTGATGTCTACCAGGTAAATAGAAGTCAAGTGGTCTGTGTTGAAAAGGTCTAGTAGACTAGCCACTGGATATCTTGTCAGACAATGAAATCCTCCATCCCCCACTATGTCCCAATCCTAACGTTCCACCACAGTTGGCAGTTGATTTTCAAAGCTGAAGAGCCAGGTGCAACATAGCCTTAACTCATAAGGCCTATGGAAGTTCTCTTTTGCTGTGAATCTCAGCAGCCCCTCCTCATTTCCTGGAATTCCAGTTTACACATAAGAATGAGTAGCTGAGGTCCAGGGAGGGCACTCTTAAAAAATGTTCTTGCTCTGCTGAGGAGCTATTATCTTGCCTGTGACTCAGTTGAGGAGAAAAAAATAGAATGGATATGATTTGAATCAAATTTATTTAAATCATGATTTAATTTTTTAAAAAACAGTTTTTGGCACTAAAATTTGGTTTTATCCATCCTGGAAAAAAAAGCAGTTTTTGGCACTAAAAATATTTGGTTTTATCCATCCTGGAAAAAAAAGAAGCTAACAGAAAGATAGGGTTTTGGAGAGTGAGGTTATCTGGGAGGCCCCATAGACCAGAATGGACTTTTTGGATACCTGTTGCCTGTTCCTGCCATAAAACACAGGGTGGTTACTACATACCTGTCCTATTTTAGGAAGCTGTGGTTGACTTGTGGTATATTCTTGGTTTACCAAATAGGTTGGTAATGAGTATGCATGCATGATGGAAAAACAAGTCTTGTGGTACCTATAAAACTAACATGCTTTGTATGGCATCATTTTTTTTTTATTGGACTGTAGTGCACTTTTTTATGGACTGTAGGTACCACAAGGCTTTTTGTTCCTTTTGCTGCAACAGACTAACCCAGCAGTCTTTTTAAAAATGGGGTGGGGGGGCAGAAGGTATCAGTCACATAATTAAATTGAATCATCCCTCAGCAATTAGGTGTCAGTTTTTGTAAGTTATGTTTTGTAACTACTTAAATGTAAATGAAATCAAACTGTCTTATTTAGTGAATAATTCCACTGCTTCTATTAATCACTTCATTATCCGGACTGGCTGTCAGGCAGGTCCTTTCCTTTTCTCCCTTTTCCCTTCCTGTCCCAAGACTTGACTGACACCATTTTCTTCTCCACTTATTTAAAATCTTGGTTGTTGTGAAGCAGAGATCTTAGAGGAGCCTCTCCATATTAGTGATCTCCTTCAGTCTTGGCCTACCCATCTTGTTTTTAATTTTTGCTTTTAAGTTTCTCTGACAAAAATAACACTACCTTAGAACTATCTACCAAAGCCTTATTAAAATGCCTCCATCTTGGTTGGCCTCCTTCAGGAGAGCAATGGACCCACAGACTGTTATGCTGCTATTTCACAAGCTGATCGTCTGCAGACAGAGCCAGAGAGCATCCGCAAATGGAGAGAAGAACAACGGGAGCGTCTAGAAGTACTTGGTAAGGGGCACTGGTACATTTAGCAGCCTGAGTTGCTAATAAGGGTTGTGCTTTTAATTGAGTTTGTCAAGATGGATCAGCAGTGTCACAGGCAAGAGTACCTTTCCCTTGGTCAAGTGGCTGTAGCATCTCTGGATGCTTGAATGTGCTTTGCCTTCTTTTTTACTGTCTTCACTTACATGTGGAGTGGAGCTGTTTTCTCAGAGCCTCTTTTGTAGTTCCTACTAGGGAGTAGAGAGCCAAAAGGATTCCCTTCTTGTAACTCACACGGGAGGTATTTTTCTAAACATCCTCAGGATCTCTGGCCTATAAAAGGCCAATTGTAAAAGCTCTGGTATGCTGTTTTATTCCCAAGGCTTTCATTTGGCTGTCACTTATGTGGGTCTTCATCCCTTAACAGTTGAGTTAATACCGTGATTGTGAAGTGCATAATCTTGGATTCAGGGAACCAGGCACTGGTGTTGGGCAACAGCTTTTCTTCAAGCTCTTGGTAGGCCCAATTGTAGCAGGCTTTATGTCGGAGCTCCAGCCACACTGCCGCCTGAGGGGAATTGCATAGTCTGCATAGAAGGAGGCCAAATCTCTTATGGCCCCAGCGTATAACTTTCTGTGGGCAGATTTGTTTTGAGAACAGTACATAAAATCATAATTCTTAACCAGGATACATCAGCCTCAACAACCATGCAGATAAGCACAGTTACTTCTGTTTTGCATAGTTTTCTATCTCTTTGTTATGTTGTGAAGATGGTAAGGAGCCATTTGGTGCCCTGAGTCGCTGCCCTTGGTGACTCTGGTCTGCTTTTGATATTTCAGTATGCTTATGTTACTTCAAACATCTTCACAGTCATAAAGACTGGAGGGTTTCAATTTCAAAAAAAGAAAAGAAAGCTGATTTGCTCAGGAAACAGGAGTTCCATGGCTAATATTGCAGCCTGTGCTTCTGTGGAATTACTCTTGAATTGGCTGTGCAGCTTGATTCCTGCCAGAAGTGGTGTGGAGGCCTAGAGGAATGGGTGAAAACTGATGACAGTGTCTGGCCATGGAGCTTTTGTTGGTGAATCAGCTCAGTGTGATCAAACTGCTCTTGCAGCTCCTCCTGATCTTGTGTTTTTATTAATTCCACCGGTGCACCGATAGAACTGTGGCTGCAAGCCTTATCCTTGCCCTCTACATCCTGTGTGCCTTCCAGAACCTGGCTCACTTGTAGCTTGGAGTATTAGGTATACTTAGCCTTTAAGAGAATGCTTGTATATAAGCCCCATTTTCATATCTGTACTTTTTTAAAGATGCCAACTCTCGAAAGCAAGAAGAGGAGTGGAAAGAGAAAGCAGTAAAAGAGTTGGAGGAGTGGTATGCAAGGCAAGATGAACAGCTACAGAAGACAAAAGTAAACAATAGGTAAGAAGAGTTTCCAGCGAGAAGGGTAACCCCGCTTGGGAGGAAGAAAACTGACTGCCCATCAGCTTTCACATTGTTGGCTTTCTCCATGGCTTGCAATGCTGCCATGGTGCTGGGTTTGTGCAAATTACAACTAGGAAATGAGGAGCCAGACACTGTAATACTCACACAGTCTTCTCATAGGTGTCTAGTGTGAATCCTGTGTACACCTCTTCACTTTGTTTGCCTTCCATCATCAGTTTTAGCTTTGGCTTAGCGTAATGTCTTCAGAGATGGCAAACATAGTTAAGGAGAAGAAATATTCTCTCCCACAAATCAGTTCTGGTTTTCTGGCAGAAATAAGTTGCTACCCAGATGTAATGCTAAGTTATGGATGAAAGAGGGAAGGTGAGATGGGGGGTGGGGTGGAGAAGCACCCCTTGCTGAACTTGGCTGCTGATTCGCTGGGAGTCGGCATGAGGGATCATGTGTTGATGAAATTCCCTCTTGTCAGAATCAGGCGAGTTGGTCAGGCAATCAGACCTTTGGCTGAGGTGATGTAGGCCGAATCAATATCATCCTTGTGGACTTCTTTTGCAGAGAAAGGGAATTTGTTTGCATGCTGCTTGTATAGTCAAGGAGGGGGAAGGAGCTAGATTATCCTGCCAGGTGTCAAAATGGATAACAGTGTGCTTCTCCAGATAGCCATTATGAAAGCTGTTTTTTTCCTAGTGGCTATTTTTCCTCACTTTATAATAAAAGAGCACTTATCAGTTGTGCCAGGGATTCTGAAAAAGGAACAGGCAGCATGTGGCGTTTAGAATCCAGATCAGATGACCAGAATTTATCCTGCAGTCCAGTACTACCCCAAAAGACTTTTAAAAACAGTGTCCTATGTCACCTTTTTAAATACAAGCCTCTCCCAATGATTTCGTGGAAGTTATTTTTATCATACTCTTGAGCCAAAAAAGTTTTTCAGAATACTTGAACAGGGCGGGTTGTTTTTCCAAATGCGAGTTGAGAGGCTCAAGTCCCAGGGGATGTGGTCCAATCCTTCGGTTTGCTTAAAACAGCTGAGGGCCAGGATCCAAGGAGCTGCAACCATAACTGCTGATTAGACTTGTTGAATGCCAAGGTCGCAGGGTTGCATTGTAGGTTTTGCTGCTAGTGGTATCAGCATTTAAAACATTTTGAGCAGCCTTTTCCACACATACTAAATGCCCTGAGCATAATTTACAAGCCAGCCTCTAGTCCATTTCAGAGTGAAATGCATTTAAGGCCATTGATTTCAATAGACGTAGTCATCTACTCACAGAGTCAGTATAGTGGACAGAGTGGCAAACTAAGACTTAGAAGACCTGGATTCAAATCTTTGCTCAGTCATGGACATTCATTGAGAGATCACAATGGTAAGCTGCTCCTTAAATGTCTCACATACTTTGAAAACCTTGCTAGGGTTGCCATAAGTCAGAATGGACTTGACAGCACTTAATATATAGCAGTCATTTAATATTTTCCCACCGGTTAGTTAATAATTGGGATATATGAGCAGGGTTTAGTGAAGAGGATGTACATGTTTTCAATTTTGAAAAATGCGAATTTTGATGTGTTAAACCAGCCCTTTGAAAATATGAAGTGCCATCCTGAAACTTTCAGGAGCTGTAATTCTCCCTTTTTTGTTGGAATAAGAGCAGGCTGGTGGAAGGCTTTGGAGGGCTGTACTTCAACCACCAATGTTTTACCGTATTTTTCGCTCCATAAGACTCACCTTTCCATAAGACGCACCAATTTTTTAGGAGAAGAAAACAGGAAAATATAAACTGATTTCTTCGCTCCATAAGACGCACAGACTTTCCACCCCCCTGTTTTGTGGGGAAAAAGTGTGTCTTATGGTACGAAAAATACGGTATCTTATATTTAATTGCACTTGTTTGCCACCACAAGCACTTATTGAATGGAATGGCTGAATAAAAATGTAATCATAAATAAAAACGCACTAAATGTTGATGCTATAAAATCAGCAGGAAACGAAGTCTGTGGTGTGTCTCCTTATTACACTGAGCTGATCTCTGCTCCTGTCCATTTTGTCTTTCCCAGTTTTAAATAGCAAACGGTGTTAACTCAGCGCTCACATTTGGGATGTTCTTATAGCTGTTTCCCCCCCTCTTTTGAAAAGATATGAACTAAGTTCAAAAGAGAAACCTGTCATTTTTTCCTCAGAATTATTAATAGTGTGCATGAGATTACCTCTTCTGTCTTCACAACTGTGCTGTAGACACATTGGAAACTCAACCTGCTCCTCACTTGTTCATTTTTTGCTTTAGTTACAAAACTTTTCTACCTATGAAATGCTAAAAGGAGAACATGACTAGAGCACATAATGGCCACCTTTTAACTGGTCAGATCATGTGCCTGTTGCAGGTGAAAAGCTGATTCTTTACTACTCATGGCTTTTGGAGTAGGAACCAGCTTTGTTCTTTGTTGCATTTTCTTTCTAGAGCATCCTCTCCCCCCCTCCCCAATTAGAGCTTTAACCAAAGCACTAATGCAAGCCATAGCTAATGCGGACAGGTTTCCTTCATTAGCTGTGGTTTGCAAATCCACTGGAATTATTGATTGAGCAGGACCTTTCTGGTTTTGCCTTGGTAGACACATAATGCAAAAACTTTGTGCATGTCCTGGAAGGGATAGATAGGGTGGTTGTTTTCAGGAGGTTGGCTACCAAGGCCTGCAAATTATGGTTTGTGGGGAGCCGTTGTTTCTTGACTACGCTGCTTAGTGCTTAAAATAAGTGTTTTTCTTCCCTCTTACTTGGGCATGTCTCAGTATTTCCAAGGTTGGACTAATCTATTACATGCTTAACATATTAAACCTAATACAACTTCAGCTGTGTTTCTTTCTGCTTACTCTTCTCTTTTTCTCTCTTGCCTGCTTGCCTCTTCTACGGACAACTTGCCACCTAGGGTAGCAGATGAAGCTTTCTACAAACAACCCTTCGCTGACGTGATTGGTTATGTGTATGTTGCCTAACTACTGGCTCTTTGTCTGATCCATTATCCATCAATTTCCGTTAATACTTCTAATCTCTGAGGCTTATTGCAATCAAAGTAGCCCAAAACAACCCACGATGGGCAGAGATGCATGTTCTGCTGCAAAGACATGCCTTGAGTTTTTAGGCTACAGGACACACTTTAGTTCTCATACATGATGTGGGGAAGGCATGTGATTAAAAAGTAGGAGGTTATGTAGAAGCTCTGGGATGACTGGCTAGAATTTTGTCAGGCACTCGTGGCCTATGGAACAATGTATATGCCTCTTGAATTCTTGTGCTGACATTTAATCCAAGGTATAGTGGAGGTAAAGGTGAAACTACTAGTCAGGGTTTCAGACGTTTGGGCAAGAGGTTCCTCAGTTGCTAGTCCAAGTTCCCTTTAGAATTTGAATATAATCCTGAGGGATCTTTGTGTACAAGGTTGCTTAGAGTCTTGACAGCCCAAGATAGGATTTGGGTTAACACAGCAAAGTGTCCTTGATTCTTAACCAGAAGAGCAGCCTAGAAAATAGGATAACCTGTGGAAGTGGACTTTCTTTGCTGTAGGTATAGTTGTGGAGTACTTGCTGCCACATCATTGCTGGGCTGTGTCAGCTTTTTTTATGGAAAGTACTCCTGTCCAAAAGGAAGTTGACTAAGGTGTGTCGGCAAGTCGGTACTTAAAAACTAGAGTTGTGCTTCCCCATTGGGTTGAGTAAGTTGATATTTAGAATCGGAAGAACGGTGGCGCTCAATTCTTTTTGTCGTCAGTTAATGCCTTTGTTCAGAAGGAGTACAAAGGCAATAGGGGAGAGGAGAAAAGACTGGAATCAGACCCAATCTTTTACAAATTCTTGCCATGTATGAAGTACACAGGGTTCCAGTTGGTGCTAATGTAGATGCACTAAAAAGGGCATCATGGGGGGAGGGGTAGAGCAATCACCTCGTCAAATAGTCATTGTCACAAAATAGTAAGAAGTGAGAAGAAGCAAGAGCAAACAGCAACTGCTTTCCTCTTACATTTGGGTGACAAGATCAGGAGACAGAGCATGCTTTGTCTCAACCTCTACTTTGCATGATATGGCACCATCTCTCTCCGGAGAGAGCTGATGCTGATCAAATTGCATTGGGACTGGAACCCTGACCCTCCACTCCTATACTACTTTGATCAGAGCCTCTCTGTGCTATTGGGAGTGTGTGTGGCAGCTTCTTCTTGGGCTCGAGTTAAATGTTGTGCTTGGCAGTGTGGTTGATTGATGATCTAGAATACAGTAATCTCAAACTTGTGAAATGCTGGATGTACAGGTGGTGTTTGCCTTTGCTCTTTGCAGATGGAATTGATGTGGAAAGACAGGTTCCTGTAGCCAGGCTTGTGGGGAGGAGGAGGAGGAAGAGGAAGACACCTGCAGGGCAATAACTGCAAACTGAAAGGGGCAGCATGTTTCCTGTTGACAGTACTGCAGAGTGCATGCCTGGCCAGCTTTATTTACCATCTGCATTATGCTCATTTTCATTTTCTATATCTGACTTAAACTCTCCTTTTTTTTTGTTTCTCTTCACCTTTAAGCACAAACATAAACCATCCTTGCTACAGCCTAGAACAGTTAAGTAAACTCTTCACTGCCCCTTAAGTGTCTTGTCCCATGAAATAGCAGTGTTGTAGTGACCCTTGTCATTAGTGGTGTCTGTAAACTCCAGTCCATCCTTGTGATCTGTGCTGAACCTCATGAGATCATCTTCATTGCTTCCTCCCCCCCCCCCCCCCCCCGCTGTTTTTGGGGGGGGGCCTGCCCTTCCTCACTTCATAATGAGAGTTATTTTCTGCTTCTGCCATGTCAGGGTCTGAAGGCCTCACTGTCTGCTTTGCTTATGCATTGAAGAATAAAGTTTCTTTTGAAGTTCAAGCAATCTAGCAGCATAACATTACTGAAAGGATAACACTAATTCTAAAGCTGATCCAAGTGTATGGGTAAAATGAGCAGGCCGAGTTATCCTTGAGCTGGCCTTTGTTGATCTCTTCTGCTGCAGTGTATGCTATTAAGTCTATAGCACTTGCAGTCATGAGGGCTATGCCTTTTTTCTTTGTTGCTTATCTCCTCTGCTTCTCAATAGAGTTTGGAATACAGACTTACACAATGATTTATGATACTTGGAGGATGCTTCCAAGCATTGAATGTGACATTTGCCCCAGTGCAGTGCTTTTACTTAAATTGTTAGCTTTTCTTATGCAGAACCTGAATGCATGTGTGGTTGGAGGCTGGGAGGTTCTTTACCTGCTGTAGCACACAGTTCTGTGCATTGGAAGTAATGTTTGAGCTCAGCACTTTTGGCCTCCAACTATACATCGTCTGTTTACTTGATTGGATGAGTAAAGCAAACCCTTTCATCACCCATAGTCCTCTGTATCTGCATAGGGTGTTCATGTTCTTAAGGTAACTCCAGAGTTAGCTGTGTATCTTATTCAGAGACTGAGACTTCACTGCTGTCTTGAAGCAGACACCTGTATTCCAACATTTTACATGGCACTGTTATGTTCCTCTGCACCAATTGCCCCTTCTGTTCTGGGGTGGAGGGGTTGGGAAGCCCTCAGGGTGCTACTGAGTCTGCTCTGCCAGCCTTTAGAATAAAAGGAAACAGGTTGCTTGTGGGAGAGAGGTTGGGAAATGGACACAGTTGAGATTAAACATGGCGTCGCATTGCTTCTAGGGCAGCGGAAGAAGCCTTTGTGAATGATGTCGACGAAGCGTCCCCGGGAACCGAGTGGGAACGTGTGGCTCGGCTCTGTGACTTTAACCCCAAGTCCAGTAAGCAGGCAAAGGATGTGTCCCGCATGCGCTCCGTGCTCATTTCACTCAAGCAGGCTCCGCTGGTTCGCTGAAGGGAAAGCACACACGCGACACTACAAATGCAATATCTTTAACTTTACTCAGAGAAGCTGTGTTTGCAGTAATTGGATTAATTATGTTTAAATGTTTTTGTTTTTTTGGACCAAACCTCATGATGTATTTAGAGTTTGATCATTGTTTTGTGATTGCATGTTCTTCCCTCCTTTGTGTCCTCTTGGTCTCCAAACTGGGAGGCAACTTCCAGAACTGTAGTCTCTGTGCTTCTCAGGCACTGAGATGCCACTCGCAGCTGTACTGATATTAAAGATCTGTTTAAACAGCATTCTTGTACTGAAACTTAAACATCCAAAAGGACTTCTTTATCGCTTTAGAAGGTACAGACAGAGCAGCTTGTGGTATGTATGACTACAATTGGTGCTAGGTTTAAAGAATCTGGCTCTTGCAGCATAAAAAGAAACCGAGATGTCTCTTTACTGTCACAAGTGGTGCAGAATCTCTTCTTTCCCACGTGTGGTTGTCTTTGCAAGAGGCTTGTTCCGGGAAGGTGGCTTAGGTGTTGTACTGCATCCACCCACTCTTCCACTGTTCTCCACCTACCACCTTAATTTAGAGAATTTGGGGGTTTATCTGTCAGTTTGTGGAAAGTGGTTAGTGGGGGAGAGTGGCTACCATTAGGGGGAGGGGAAAGCCTTAAACTCCTAGAAGAGGTGCTGAAGGGGGAAAATTCCTTTAGTAGCAGAAGCTGCGTATGAGGCAGTATGATAGGAAACACTAAGTGGTCAGCTTCCCATTTCAGCTCTTAAGGAACCGGGGCTCCTGGAATCTGGCAACATTGATGTTGAATATGGTATAATGTTGTTAGTGTGTTCTCCATAAAAGCACACTTCTTCAGAGAAAGGCCTTCTGTCGGGTCAATCCCCTTCCTGGACTCCAGAGGCAAAGCTGATTAAACTCATTTCTGAAGTCAGGATTCCTCATCCCAGTTTTTCAGCATCTTCTGTGGGACAGGTAAGCCACCAGCAAAACAAAGCTACTGTGCTCTGTTCTAAAGCAAAGAAAGCAATTTCTGGCTTTAGGCAATAGTTAAAACAGAGAAAGGACCTGTCCTGAATGTGGTTGACCAAAGCAAACAAGCTCCTCTCTATCTGGTCATCTCTTATGTCTTCAAGCAGGGAAAGAGCTGGGCTAAGAAGGAGTACAAGGAGTGGCTCAGAGTACATGGATGAGGTAATTAAATGTCTCTGATACTCTCGCAGAACTGAAAGGGACCTTGCAGGTCATTTAGTATAGCACTGCTCAATGCAGGAGGCAACTACAGTCTTGACGGGGGGCTTTTTTAATACAGCAGAAGACAATCTTGTGTTTTTCTCCACTGTTCTGTTGTAACACAGATCCTAACATCTAGCTCAGTAGTTCCCAACCTTGGGTCCCCAGATGTTCTTCTACTGCTCCCAGAAATCCTGGGGAGCACAGCTGTTGGTGAAGATTTCTGGGAATGTTAATTTAAAAACATCTGGGTAGCCAAGACTGGAAACCACCAATCTAGCTAAAGCCTACCACTTGCTTCTTTGTCTGCCTTCTGAAGCAATAGGGCAAACCTGCTCCTCCTTCTGTCCTTGAGATAAAGACAGCCATTTCCTTTCTTATATCTCCAAGTGAAAAATTTTGAACTCTTTCCAGATGTACAGGGCCTTGTAAATATAGCAGATGTCAGAGTATTTACATAGTGGTCTCTGTGGAATGGGATCCTTTGATTTAACTTTCAGCAGCTTCATGTCAGCCTTTGCAAAGTGCTTGCTTGTTTACAATACCCTTTCTCTGAAAATACCTAAGTAGAGATAAGTAAGTTTGGCCTCTGTCTCCTTAGATTTCTTTGGAAATCTAATCTAGCTATTTTGTTTTGCAAACAACTGTTTCTTGTCCACAATACAGGTTTTGCATCAAGACAATAAAGTGCTCAGGCACACTCTTTCAGAACAACTCTAGTCAAAAATTTTGGTAGTTTATAAACCACAGACTGATCTTCTTAAATTCTTTGGTGTGCTCCAGTAGCCAGTGGATATTTGCAATATTATCTCAAATCTCTTCCTTTTTAGAATGCAGCTTGACTCTCAGGCTTTTCTTGCACCATTGTAAGGTTGCATGACTTTGCTTGCACAAGAAATCAGAGCAATGGTTACAGCACCTCTTGGCATCTCATTTCTTGGAGACTTGAATGTATAATGAATGTTTCCCATCCCTGGGCCATTGTTTCATTTTTCCTATATGTTGACAGATTTTTGTTAGGATTTTAAAAGAGTCTGTGGCCTAAAATAGTTGGTGTTCCATCTAACTGGTGATTTATTTTTTCCTAGCATTTTCAGAGGAGCTTTCACTTCACTTTCTAGAACTGAGGCTTTTCACCATAAAGTGATCAGCCGCAACATTAAAATCACCCATCTAATATTGGTCCCCGTCATGCTGCCAAAACAGCACTGTTGCATTGAGGCATGGACTCCACAAGACCTCTGAATATGACTTCTGGTATCTGGCACCAAGACATTGGCAGTAGATTCCTTAAATGCTGCAAGTTGCAAGGTGGACCCTCTGTAGATCAGATCTGGTTCTAGCACATCCCCCAGATGCTCAGTTTTTTTGTTTCTCTTCACCTTTAAGCACAAACATAAACCATCCTTGCTACAGCCTAGAACAGTTAAGTAAACTCTTCACTGCCCCTTAAGTGTCTTGTCCCATGAAATAGCAGTGTTGTAGTGACCCTTGTCATTAGTGGTGTCTGTAAACTCCAGTCCATCCTTGTGATCTGTGCTGAACCTCATGAGATCATCTTCATTGCTTCCTCCCCCCCCCCCCCCCTGTTGAAGTAACATCCATACAAATGCCAGGACCCAAGGTTTCCCAGGAGAATGTTACCCAGAGCATAACACTGCCTCCACTTTGGAGTAGGTGGGAGTCCTGCCCTTCCTCACTTCATAATGAGAGTTATTTTCTGCTTCTGCCATGTCAGGGTCTGAAGGCCTCACTGTCTGCTTTGCTTATGCATTGAAGAATAAAATTTCTTTTGAAGTTCAAGCAATCTAGCAGCATAACATTACTGAAAGGATAACACTAATTCTAAGGCTGATCCAAGTGTATGGGTAAAATGAGCAGGCCGAGTTATCCTTGAGCTGGCCTTTGTTGATCTCTTCTGCTGCAGTGTATGCTATTAAGTCTATAGCACTTGCAGTCATGAGGGCTATGCCTTTTTTCTTTGTTGCTTATCTCCTCTGCTTCTCAATAGAGTTTGGAATACAGACTTACACAATGATTTATGATACTTGGAGGATGCTTCCAAGCATTGAATGTGACATTTGCCCCTGTGCAGTGCTTTTACTTAAATTGTTAGCTTTTCTTATGCAGAACCTGAATGCATGTGTGGTTGGAGGCTGGGAGGTTCTTTACCTGCTGTAGCACACAGTTCTGTGCATTGGAAGTAATGTTTGAGCTCAGCACTTTTGGCCTCCAACTATACATCGTCTGTTTACTTGATTGGATGAGTAAAGCAAACCCTTTCATCACCCATAGTCCTCTGTATCTGCATAGGGTGTTCATGTTCTTAAGGTAACTCCAGAGTTAGCTGTGTATCTTATTCAGAGACTGAGACTTCACTGCTGTCTTGAAGCAGACACCTGTATTCCAACATTTTACATGGCACTGTTATGTTCCTCTGCACCAATTGCCCCTTCTGTTCTGGGGTGGAGGGGTTGGGAAGCCCTCAGGGTGCTACTGAGTCTGCTCTGCCAGCCTTTAGAATAAAAGGAAACAGGTTGCTTGTGGGAGAGAGGTTGGGAAATGGACACAGTTGAGATTAAACATGGCGTCGCATTGCTTCTAGGGCAGCGGAAGAAGCCTTTGTGAATGATGTCGACGAAGCGTCCCCAGGAACCGAGTGGGAACGTGTGGCTCGGCTCTGTGACTTTAACCCCAAGTCCAGTAAGCAGGCAAAGGATGTGTCCCGCATGCGCTCCGTGCTCATTTCACTCAAGCAGGCTCCGCTGGTTCGCTGAAGGGAAAGCACACACGCGACACTACAAATGCAATATCTTTAACTTTACTCAGAGAAGCTGTGTTTGCAGTAATTGGATTAATTATGTTTAAATGTTTTTGTTTTTTTGGACCAAACCTCATGATGTATTTAGAGTTTGATCATTGTTTTGTGATTGCATGTTCTTCCCTCCTTTGTGTCCTCTTGGTCTCCAAACTGGGAGGCAACTTCCAGAACTGTAGTCTCTGTGCTTCTCAGGCACTGAGATGCCACTCGCAGCTGTACTGATATTAAAGATCTGTTTAAACAGCATTCTTGTACTGAAACTTAAACATCCAAAAGGACTTCTTTATCGCTTTAGAAGGTACAGACAGAGCAGCTTGTGGTATGTATGACTACAATTGGTGCTAGGTTTAAAGAATCTGGCTCTTGCAGCATAAAAAGAAACCGAGATGTCTCTTTACTGTCACAAGTGGTGCAGAATCTCTTCTTTCCCACGTGTGGTTGTCTTTGCAAGAGGCTTGTTCCGGGAAGGTGGCTTAGGTGTTGTACTGCATCCACCCACTCTTCCACTGTTCTCCACCTGCCACCTTTATTTAGAGAATTTGGGTTTTTTTCTGTCAGTTTGTGGAAAGTGGTTAGTGGGGGAGAGTGGCTACCATTAGGGGGAGGGGAAAGCCTTAAACTCCTAGAAGAGGTGCTGAAGGGGGAAAATTCCTTTAGTAGCAGAAGCTGCGTATGAGGCAGTATGATAGGAAACACTAAGTGGTCAGCTTCCCATTTCAGCTCTTAAGGAACCGGGGCTCCTGGAATCTGGCAACATTGATGTTGAATATGGTATAATGTTGTTAGTGTGTTCTCCATAAAAGCACACTTCTTCAGAGAAAGGCCTTCTGTCGGGTCAATCCCCTTCCTGGACTCCAGAGGCAAAGCTGATTAACCTCATTTCTGAAGTCAGGATTCCTCATCCCAGTTTTTCAGCATCTTCTGTGGGACAGGTAAGCCACCAGCAAAACAAAGCTACTGTGCTCTGTTCTAAAGCAAAGAAAGCAATTTCTGGCTTTAGGCAATAGTTAAAACAGAGAAAGGACCTGTCCTGAATGTGGTTGACCAAAGCAAACAAGCTCCTCTCTATCTGGTCATCTCTTATGTCTTCAAGCAGGGAAAGAGCTGGGCTAAGAAGGAGTACAAGGAGTGGCTCAGAGTACATGGATGAGGTAATTAAATGTCTCTGATACTCTCGCAGAACTGAAAGGGACCTTGCAGGTCATTTAGTATAGCACTGCTCAATGCAGGAGGCA